CCAGAACTACCATCCACGCTCTGGTGCGTACGGATTGTGAGATCACGTGGAAACGTGACCATGACAGCTTTTGGAGGATCGTACAGGGCCACGTTTTGCCTTTCTCTTCCCATAAAACCGTTGTCCTCTCCATGTAACCTATTGTAATATTGCTTATCTTTTCCACTTTTCTGGAATACCTTTTACAGATATACTGGCAAACTGCTGGCAGCTATTGTTTAAAAAATAAAATATATATTTTCACCTATGACTGTGACTGTTTTTGGATTTGTGACATTGATAGGTCAGGTTTGTGGGCTTAAAACCTCCACTTTAACTAGTCCTCTGTGGAGAGTAAGGCTCTCCTTCTGGAGGTGAATGCAAAGTGAGCTTAAGAATCGTGTGGACAGCACATTGGGGACTTTGCCCGCACTATAAGAGACTCCGCTACTTTAAAAAGAGAACATTTTGTCATCGGTAGTAGCTGCTTCAAAGCCAAGAGCGTAGCACAGTGCGGGGGCCTCTCCAATACTTTGCATTTAGAAGAACACCACGGTGAGCTATCTCAAGGTACTGTTTACATTGAAAGTCATCTGGGAAGACTTTATACTGTAAGCAAGACCCTCTACGGTGAAGGGTTCTTTGTGTCTAGGCTTATACACCTGGAAGCGGAAAAGTCGTTCAGTTGCTTACAATGCATTCTCACATACAAACTGGAGAACCTTGGCTGAGCAGTCCAGACATTTCCCAGAACTGCAGTCATCATCTGTGTCCTTTAAGATGATTTAAATATATTAAAATGCGCTTCCTTTCACTGCAGTAGTTGGGAGCAGTGTTCCCTCTAAGCTGAGTGAGTGTGAGCTAGCTCACATTTTTGTAGCTTTCAGCTCACAGATTTTTGTCTTAGCTCAGGAAGGGATGGCTCCAGATCAAACTAATTTAAGCCGTAGCCAAATCACTTGCTCACAACTTTAATGCCAGTAGCTCACAACGTAGAATTTTTGCTCACAAGACTCCACAGCTTAGAGGGAACATTGGTTGGGAGCAGGGGTCATTTCCTGCAGGAGCACACAGGAGCAGAGCTCTGGCAGTAAGGAGCCCAGGGGGCGGGCACATGCAACAAGCCCCGCCCCCTGCTCCCAGCAGCCCTCAGTTGGGCCATGAGGAACAAGAAGCAGCCAGGTAAGCTGCAGAGCCCCCCCGCCCACCTTCAGGTACAAGCTCTCCATCCTCTGTGTGGGCAGATCTGCGCATCCCCCCCCCAATAGCTAGCAATCCAAAACAGTCCAGTGGAGCCTGAGCGGGGGGTGTTGCCTTCTGTCACACTTCCGGTGATGTCAGGGGGTGTGGCATATGCAAATAAGTTATGCTAATGAGCTCCTGCACCTCTTTTTCTATGAAATGTCCCCTGGTTGGGAGTATTCTCAAGATCCCATAGCCAATATCACAATGTGCTACAACATTCTATGACAGTAAAGCTTCTGGCCGTGGCTGAGCCGGGATGACGTTACGGGATCCTTCGTCGTGTTTTTAAGTGCTGAGACAAATTGTTTACTTAGGGTCCCCCACACCGAATGCTCAAACGTGGTACAATTTAAAGTGTAAACATTCAATCAGAACAATAAAATCTAATCTGAATTTGAACAGTAGACTATGCCAGTGGTCCAGCAGCAAGACCCATTTGCCCCTTAACACAGGATCGAGCAACGGGAAGACCGATGTGGGCAAGTAGAAAGCCAGGAGGTGGCACTAAAGAGAAGCACAGCCAAGACTTACCTCTGTCAGCATTGCGGTGCAGGAGATCGGGGAGGTCGGACAGAGGCATTGTGCCTTTCGGCAGGGTGGGGGGTGGTTCTCTGTGGCCCACCTTGTCAGGCCAGGAGTTGCAGTGTGGGGCAGGAAGAGGGCCCCTGCAGGGGCTATATGGGAAAGCTGGCTTGCCCACAACCACCCCTCATTTTGGACTTTTAAGATATATAATTTAATTTATTCTGGTCTTTTTAATTGTCACAGCTTAGCAGTTTGGGCATTGGGACGGATCCTTTTGGGGAGAGGCCGGGCTTGCATGCTTTTGAGGTATGGAGCCACTCCCCCATTTGAAGTATGGAGCCACTCAGCCACATGCCCAGGGGAACCAGGTAGAGGTTGGCGCCCACGTGTCCCGGTATTCCGTCACTCTATGGGCGATCCCTGAGCAGGCAGGCTGGGGGAAGGGTTCCATCAGGTGGCAGGCGGGTTGCCCAATGCTTGATCCATCCCTGTGCTGCACCATTGCTCCTTTGTGTTAATAAATAAGCTGTGGCTATGTCTCCCCCCAAAATGGATTGTGTGTGTGTTTAATTCCTTCCGGCACCTCCCCCTTTATCCCTCCTCGAACGTGGAAGATAGGTGAGCGAGCTGTGTATCTTCTTCCTGTGCTTCAAGGCAGAGTCCACAGCAGCAGTAAGACTCTGGAATCCTCACAACACTACAGTGCTTCAAACAATATATTTTTAAATAGGTTGAAGGGCTGTCATGTAGAAGATGGAGCGGATCTATTCTCTCTTGCTCCGGATTACATGACTAAATCTAATGGGTGGGAATGACAGGGGAGTCGTTACCGGCTAAATATCTGTAGAAACTTCCTAACTGTAAGAGTGGTTGAGCAGTGGAACAGTCTGCCTCAGGAGGTGGTGGGTGCTCCTTCGCTGGACGTTTTCAAGCGGAGGCTGGACGACCATCTTCCGGGTATGCTGCAGGGCTCTCTTTCGGCTATGCTCCTGCAGAGTGCAGGGGGTTGGACTAGATGACCTGCAAGGTCCCTTCCAACTCTAACATTCTATGGTTCTATGATTCTATGAAAGGAGCACACGTGAGTCGTGTACCACTTTTAGGCATTTTCTGTTAATGACCAAAGCCACTTTCACCAGGAAGCTGGAAAAAATAAGGCGCAACAAGCCCAGAGCAGATTGGCTGAGGTAAGACCAGGAGATAGAAAAACTAAGCCTAATGGAAATGTATAGCTAAGGAAACCAAGAAGGAAGTTGGGCGTGGGAAAACTTGAAGGAGTTGAAAACGTGTTAGGAGAAAGAGAGGGATCCAGGCAAGGGGACTTTGAAAGCTGAAGATCCGTGGCAAAGGAACATACGTTTGGTTGATCTAGGATCTGCACATAGGCCTCTGTCCCTTTGATGTCGTTCTATAAAGGCAGGATTTCACCGCGTATGGTTTTGTCACAGCAGCAACAATAATGGAAGAAATTGCTGTTAGGTTCACACAATAGCACTATATAGACAAAAATGAATAAATAAACTTGTTGAGATGACGTTCAATGATGTTTGTAATATCTAGACTTGTTGTCCGGACTGAAAACTAGTAAGCCTGCGTGCTGTATTATAAACTTGTTAGCCTATGGGCTGTTGGAACTGTTGTTGGAAAAGATTGATACTACCTCTGTACACAAAAAGACAACCAGAGAATCTGAATTGTGGTTGAAAAAGAGTTGTGTCTCGAAACGAACTACCACTCGAGATGTTCGTATCACCTATCTTCAGTGTCAGACGTCCTTTGTCTTGAAAATATAGATATTACAAACATCATTGAACGTCATCTCAACAAGTTTATTTATTCATTTTTGTCTATATAGTGCTATTGTGTGAACCTAACAGCAATTTCTTCCATTATTGTTGTACCTTTAAATTGCTGGTCCCCTTTGTAGATTTTTTGTCACAGCAGCACCATCATACGAAAATGCACTTGCGATAAAAAGAATTTTCTGAAAATGTTCGGCTTTCTAAATTTGGACTCTGAATTCTCTAAAGCAAGCAGCAGTGCCCAAGGGAGACAGGGCTGAATGTTACCTGTTGACTAAATTAGTCAAAACCAGGGGTCATTTCCTGCAGGAGCACACAGGAGCGGAGCTCCGGCAATAAAGAGCCCAGGGGGCGGGCACATGCAACAAGCCCCACCCCCTGCTCCCAGCAGTCAGAGCAAGAAGCAGCCAGGTAAGCTGCAGAGCCCCTCCCACCGGTCCAAAACAGTCCATTGGCACCTTTAAGACCAAGTTTTATTCAGGTACAAGCTCTCCCTCCTCAGTGAGGGCAGATCTGCGTGCCCCCCCCCCAACAGCTAGCAATCCAAAACAGTCCAGTGGAGCCTGAGCGGTGGGTGTTGCCTTCTGACACACTTCCGGTGATGTCAGGGGGTGTGGCATATGCAAATAAGTTACGCTAATGAGCTCCTGCGCCTCTTCTACGAAATGACCCCTGGTCAAAACTACTGCAGAGGAAACTGGGCTAGGTGACACCGCTCGGCAGGATTTGACAGATCGATACGATGGGCAGCCGCAGTGGCATCCGCTTCACTTAATCTTGCCTCCATTACTTCACAACTACAGTAGTTCTGCCTTTGAGTGGCAGAGCAGCTGGTACCACTAGGTAGGCAGGGAAGGCCGTGGCATCTTCCCATCCACTAGCCCTTTAGTACACACAGACTGGCAAAGATTATCCTTTTTTATTTTAACCGAATAATAAAGTATCACTAACTTTCCATCAGGTAATGTTGTGAACGCTCTTGATGATAAAATGTGGCCAGCCAATAGTGTTTGAGTATTTAGAATTTTTTTTTTTTAAACAGTATCTCAGTCTATCATCATTTGGGGGCAAACTGCAGCACTTTCACCATCTTGTGGTTTTACAAAATCACTAGAAATCCTAATGATCCATGTAAAGTAATTTTGCTCTGGATAGGAATTAAATGAATGGATGAAATCTGCTAAATGGACTGCAGGAATCTTATCAGTGGAACAGGGGCACTCCGGAAGGTGTTGAAAACACAAGGACCGATTTCACACAAGAGGTGCGCCGCCGTCGCGCCTCCCTCTGCCCCGCTTCTATCGGTCAATTTCGCACTCGAAGCCGCGCGGCCGCGTTTTGACCCGCGGCTTCGCCCGGTTTCCCCCGCGGTTTCGTGATCCTGTTTTTTGAGGATCGTGAAACCGTGGGGGAAATTGGGCGAAGCCGTGGGTCAAAACGCGGCCACGCGGCTTCGTGTGCGAAATTGACCAACGGAAGCGGGGCAAAGGGAGGCGCGACCGCGGCGCGGCTCTTGTGTGAAATCGGTCAAGGAGTATGTCGTTTCCCCTCCAAGCCAGAGGCTATCATCTAATGGAAAGTCCCAAAGAGATACAAAATTCCATAGTTTTTTCTGGTAAAATATTAAGAGCCACCACATTAGGAATCAGGCTGAATCACCCAAGCAAAGATGTCAGTGTTAACATAGCGGTATATAGCAATCTCTTATAACTTAGCTAATTCACAAAAGTACTTTTTTCTAGGTTAGCTCTTCAAGTTAAGTGTGTAAAATACAGTTATGGATGACCTGGATGTCTCTATATTTTCTGGCCAGCATGCTTCAACCCCTGAACACAGCACGCCATCTGAGACAGGTTACCTGCAAACTTTAGGGAAGAGGTACTTGCCAACTGGACAGTATTAGAACCTACGGTTCCACAAAAGGAGAGAAAGTACATTCTCCTGTTCTCTGCCACCCTTTTGGAATCACTTAGCATCATGCTGTGTTATTGCTGATGAAGTTACCTAAGCGGCCATAAAATGAAGCTTATTTGTAGATGGTTTCACAAAAGGAAGCTCCGCTGCATCGATTGGATTAGGAAAGAGGGGCATTGCACATACCAGCAATGCAGAAAGAAACCCAGCTTCTACCAAGTAGTTTGACAGCACTTCTTCCTAGAGAATTTGTGGAGTAAGCCAAATCTCAATAAGCCATCAAGGTCACTTCGCCATTTCCCTCACACAATACAATCAAGAGGTCACCAATAGTCTCCTTCAAAGCAATGTCAAATAGACTCCAGTGCCTGATGCGTCCTGATCTAGTTCAGCCTCCAGAAAGATGTGAAACTCTTAGTAGTTGCAACAGTCCCTGAACACCCATTCCCCTTGTAAGATCTCAAAAACTGTATACTGTCAACTTTATGGCACCGGCGTTTCATGCGCATTTCCACTCTCCTGTTTAAGGAAACCAGACAGGAGGAGTGAGAAAAGAAAAAAGATATCTAATCATCCACAGTGATGTTGCGGAAGAGGTAAGCCATAGATTCCCCATTGTGGATTCGACGGATGGCTTCGGAGAGGATCAAGCTGATATCTACAGTCTTTATCTTGGGACACTGCAGTTTCTGCACCTCGTGAGGAACCGTATTGGTGACCACCACCTACGGAGAGACCCGAAAAGGGAAAATGTTAGAAACATGGCTGAAACAGCTGCTCAGATTTAATCCACGAGGGACTGAATTGGCTTTAAAATAATAATAATAAAACCAATGGTTTTCAGTGGCCGCCACATTCCGCCAGATTTTATCTGTCATTACGACTGCCTGATATAACGTGAGATTGCAGCACGATTTTTAGATTACTTAGGGAATGACTGGCCCCCAAGGTCTCTGATGAGATAAATACAAATGCTGCAAGAACTAGAAGAAGAAGAGAAGAGATTGGATTTATACCCCGCCCTTCACTCCCCAAAGGTGTCTCAGAGCGGCTTACAAACTCCTTTCCCTTTCCCTCCCCACCACAGACACCCTGTGAGGTAGGTGGGGCTGAGAGAACTCTGACAGAAACGGCTCTTTCCCAAGAGCAGCTCTGACAGAACTATGGCTTGCCCAAGGTCATCCAGCCAGGTGCAAGTGGAGGAGCGGGGAATCAAACCCGGCTCTCCCAGATTAGAGTCCGCGCACTTAACCACTACACCAAACTGGAAAACTAATAGTGACAGTCTAGTAATGATAGTTGCAAGGAGATCAGCTCAGTGGTACCCTGTAAAGCGCTTCTCCATACAGGCTAATAAACTCTATGAGCACAGCTGCTCGGCTGCCAAGAGAAAATGGCCCCATAAAAGAAAAACACAAAGTGAAAGCAGCTATGCAGAGATTTATTTCAGCCGTACAATCTACCATGGTATTAGCCCCCAGGGAGAACACCAGGTCCTATGTAAAGCGGTGTTCATGGCACTTAGGTTTTAAGCCCAGAAGAGAGACTGCACCACAGGCGCAACTCCCATAGTCTTACTTAGCAAAACACAACTATGCCATAGCAGCTAAAAGTGCTCACTCTACTTCCTCCTGTCACTACAACTGAGTATCTCCCTGGGATTGGGGGACAGAGTGAAAGTGTTAGGCCAGTGACATGGTACAGAGTGAGGATGTGCATTCGGTAAAGCCGAACTGGGGAAAACCCCCGAAAAATGCCTTTTTGGCATTTTTCGCCAATCCAGCAAGCCGAATCAGGATCTCTGATCTGATTCGGCTGCCGAATACTGAAACTATCTGGCTTTTATCCGGCATTATTCAGCATTGCCAAATACAGGCTTAAAAAGTAAAGGTAAAGGTTCCCTTGCTCGAAAGCCAGTCAAATCCGACTCTAGGGTTGCGGTGCTCATCTCCGTTTCAAAGCTGAAGAGCCAGCGCTGTCCGAAGACGTTTCCGTGGTCATGTGGCCGGCATGACTAAATACCAAGGCGCACAGAACGCTGTTACCTTCCCACCGAAGTGGTACCTATTTATCTACTTGCAATTTCTTGCTTTCGAACTGCTAGGTTGGCACATACATACAGGCTTGGTGGGGTATGGGTGGGGTATGAACTTTAAAAGGCTTTTAAAATCTTTTCTTTCCCGCCATTTCTCTCTCTTTCCTGCCCTTTTGCCTGCTTTTCAAGAGGGAGGGGAAAGAGGGACCTTACATACAGCCAATCACTGCAATGTAGTTGCAAATGGCATTGCAGCTTGCAAGGCTGTCATTGCTGCTGGCTTCAAACTCGAAGCCCAGCTACTAGCTTGGTTTCCCAGGGACAGGAGGGAGGGAGGAGCACTGGCCAGTAAGATTACAGATAAGGGTGGGCACACTGGTCTTTGGCCAATCACGGAAGTTTGTTCTTTTTTGGGAATTCTTCGGTGTATGGCCAGAAAGCACAAAAGCAGGGGTCTCTGGCTGGGTGACTCCATTTTCTGCTGAGAGAACTTTGGTTGAAGATTGTGTGGCCGGCTTCTGCTTCAGCCACTCTCTGAGCCGGACTTTCCTGCTGCCTGTGAGACTAACTTGGACTACCTCAAACCAAGATCCTGCCTGCTGGAAAAACAGAAGACTGAAGACATCCACTGGTTTGACTGATTAGGGGCCAGTTTTTAAAAACTTTTTTCACTTTGTTGTAGGCTGGTAGGTTGGAGCCTGGGATTGGTTCTGGTGGGCACATTGCACTGGTTCTGCTGCTGGCCTTGCAAACATGCCCCCTCACACCACACCTCACACTGCAGATATTCTCTGGGAGAAACTGCTGGGCTGTTGTTTTATCTGCCTGCCTTTCCCCCCACCATTGGAAGCAATGGAGAATGGGTGCACCCTCTATGGATGACCCTAGAACTGGACCCCCTGGTCCACTCTTTTTCAAACTTGGGGGTTCTTTTGAGGAGAGCTCCAGCACCTACAGTACAAATTTGGTGTCACTACCTCAAACCCCCTCTCCCCCAGCCCACTGAATACACCTTAAAAGATTTTGCCATTGACTACAATGGTCCCACAGGATATAATGGAGCCGAATTTTTTCAGTATTCCCAAATATTTCCGGATACCAATACATTACTGGAATTGGTATTCAGGTATACGCAGGAATACCAAAAAATTCAGCTTCATTATACCTGAATCTAAAAAAAGCCAATCCCCACCCCACCCCACACACAGCCCTAGTGCAGAGTTGCATTTCTAGAGTGCTGTTTGATAGGCAGTTGGGGAGATCATATCAGGTATAATACAAAGAGCAGGAGGTGGGAAAAGACACCCCAGGGAACAGTAGCAAAGGTATGTGTTAAGGAAAACAAACCTGAGTGTAAGGTCTAGTTTTAGGTGACAAACAAGTGGAAACCTGGTCTCAAATTTCAGCAGAAGTATTTGAACCTGAATGTGCTGTAATTATTTGCTATAGGAAGCACAAAGAAATTGATGCAAATAGAAATCAATCAAGGCTGGATTCTCTTTAGAGAACGGTATGCAAGTACCAGCCTTGTACTCCACTCAGTTTCTGCCTCTCTGAAGACGGGTTCAAATGTATCCACATCAGGGGTCATTTCCTGCGGGAGCGCATAGGAGCGGGGCTCCGGCAGTAAGGAGCCCAGGGGGCGGGCGCATGCAACAAGCCCCGCCCCATTCTCTCAGCAGCTCTCAGTCGAGCCACGAGGAGCAAGAAGCTTCCAGGTAAGTTGCAGAGCCCCCCCCCGGCCCGCCTTCAGGTACAAGCTCTCCCTCCTCTGTGAGGGCAGATCTGCGCATCCCCCCCCCATAGCTAGCAATCCAAAACAGCCCAGTGGCACCTTTAAGACCAAGTTTTGTTCAGGTACAAGCTCTCCCTCCTCTGTGAGGACAGATCTGCACGTTTCCCTGCCCCCCCATAGCTATCAATCCAAAACAGTCCAGTGGCACCTTTAAGACCAAGTTTTATTTAGGTACAAGATCTCCCTCCTCTGCGAGGACAGATCTGTACGTTTCCCCCCCCCCAATAGCTAGCAATCCAAAACAGTCCAGTGGAGCCTGAGCGGTGGGTGTTGCCTTCTGACACACTTCCAGTGATGTCAGGGGGTGTGGCATATGCTAATAAGTTATGCTAACGAGTTATGCTAATGAGCCCCTGCCCCTCTTTTTCTACAAAATGACCCCTGATCCACATAACACTACTCTTGATAGCAAAGTGTCCCAGCTGTTAGAGTTTCCACAGTCTATCGAGACTTGCCTCATCGATCGAGGACTCTTCAATCAGTCGTGGAGCATCAGCAGACAGGAGCCCGTGAGTGGCCATGATAAAAATCTTGTAAGCACCACGCTCTTTCAAGATGTCCGCAGCCGCCACAAAGCTTTCCACATCGTCAATGATGTCATCCTGACAAGCAAAATAAATCCCAGTTAAAAAAAATCCAGAAACGTCTCTTGCCCCACAACCCCTTGACTGCCTCTGCTAGTCAAGAACTCCACGAAAATACTTCAGTGTCTGTTCAAAGCGATGAACGGAAGAAAATTCCGCCATGCTGCCAACAGGAGTTTATATTACACTGTCAAGTGTTAAGGCTGCCTAGGCCCGCTAAGGCCTGAGAGGCCCTTTAACATTTTTTATATATATACGCTTGAGGCAAACTTTAAATGTCTATTTAGCAGTGAAAAAAAAGCGTGGATTGTAAAATAGGCATGAAAATATTTTTCTGGGACAGAAATAAAGATTAAGATCTGTGATCTTTCAAAGAACCAAAAATGTCCTTTGAAGAAGAGGACTTTGGATTTATACCCCCGCCCTTCACTACCCAAAGGTGTCTCAGAGCGGCTTACACACTCCTTTCCCTTCCCCTCCCCACCATAGACACCCTGTGAGGTAAAAGAAGAAGAGGAGGAGATTTCATACCCCGCCCTTCACTACCCAAAGGGGTCTCAGAGCGGCTTACAAACTCCTCTCCCTTCCCCTCCCCACCACAGACACCCTGTGAGGTAAAAGAAGAAGAAGAAAATATTGGATTTATACCCCGCCCTTCACTATCCAAAGGTGTCTCAGAGCGGCTTACAAACTCCTTTCCCTTCCCCTCCCCACAACAGACACCCTGTGAGGTAAAAGAAGAAGAGGAGGAGATTGGATTTATACCCCGCCCTTCACTACCCAAAGGTGTCTCAGAGGGGCTTACAAACTCCTCTCCCTTTCCCTCCCCATCACAGACACCCTGTGAGGTAAAAGAAGAAGAAGAGGAGATTTTATACCCCGCCCTTCACTACCCAAAGGTGTCTCAGAGCGGCTTACAAACTCCTCTCCCTTCCCCTCCCCACAGCAGGCACCCTGTGAGGCAGGTGGGGCTGAGAGAGCTCTTGACAGAAACGGCTCTTTTTCAAGAACAGCTCTTATCAGAACTATGGCTTGCCCAAGGCCATCCAGCCAGGTGCAAGGGGAGGAGTGGGGAATCAAACCCGGTTCTCCCAGGTTAGAGTCTACCCCAGACTGGCTCTTTGGGCATACTTATCTGTTGTATAGTTGAATGCAGCTTTCTGTGATCTTGGTTGCATTGTGGCTGCAGAGGCCAAAACTAGGATCTGAGAACATTTCCTATTGAAATGCAGGCATCTTTCCCCCTTTTTGCTGTCTGTGGGACTTCACATCGTGCACTGGCTCCCCATACTAGTTTCAGTCAGTCCTGTGGACCAGTGGGCCACCAAAATAGGCTTATGTACATTATAATTCTGGGCTGGGAGGTGGTGAAATGATGAAATGTAGGTTAAACACACCACCAGATGGAGGAGCACACTAAAGCAAACTTCCTTAGGGCTATATGGAGTTCTGCGACACAATGGGAAACTCACACTAAGCATGCTAAAGAGCTAAGGCTAGCTAGGCCTCTTTTTTCCTGAAGCATCTTTCCTCCAAATCATAGAATGTTAGAGTTGGAAGGGACCTTGCAGGTCATCTAGTCCAACCCCCTGTACTCTGCAGGAGCACAGCCAAAAGACAGCCCCAAACATACCCAAAAGATGGTCGTCCAGCCTCTGCTTGAAAACGTCCAGCGAAGGAACACCCACCACCTCCTGAGGCAGTCTGTTCCACTGCTCAACCACTCTTACAGTCAGGAAGTTTCTCCTGATATTTAGCTGGTAACGACTCCCGTGTAATTTCCACCCCTTAGATCTAGTCTTGCAATCCGGAGCAGGAGAGAACAGCTGCTCCATCTTCTACATGACAGCCCTTCAGATACTTGAAGATTGCAATCGTGTCCCCTCTAAGCCTTCTCTTTCCCAGGCTAAACAGACCCAACTCTTTCAGCCTTTCCTCCAAATGACTTATCATACCCACCCACCTGCCTAGGAGATAAACATGCAAAGGATTTTAACAGGACGCATAACAGTCCTTGGTAAGGCTTTAAAAAAATACTTTAATAAAAATAGGAACATTTCAGGAATCTACACAAGAAGTTGCTTTATACGGAATCAGATCACTGGTCCATCAAAGTCAATACTGTCTACTCAGATTGGGAGTGGTTCTCCAGGGCCTTAGATCTTCACATCTTTCTGGGCACCACATTTTAGGAAGGATGTTGACAAGCCCGAGCGTGTCCAGAAGAGGGCAACCAGGATGGTGAGAGGGTTGGAGTCCAAGTCTTACGAGGAAAGGCTGAAAGAGTTGGGGATGTTTAGCCTGGGAAAGAGAAGGCTTAGAGGGGACATGATTGCGGTCTTCAAGTACCTGAAGGGCTATCATGTAGAAGATGGAGCAGATCTATTCTCTCTTGCTCCGGATTGCAAGACTAGGTCTAATGGGTGGAAATCACAAGGGAGTCGTTACCGGCTAAATATCAGGAGAAACTTCCTGACTGTAAGAGTGGTTGAGCAGTGGAACAGGCTGCCTCGAGAGGTGGTGGATGCTCCTTCTCTGGACATTTTCAAGCAGAGGCTGGACGACCATCTTTCGGGTATGTTGCAGGGCTGTCTTTCGGCTACGCTCCTGCAGAGTGCAGGGGGTTGGACTAGATGACCTACAAGGTGCCTTCCAAGTGAAGATTCTGGTACTGAAACCAGGACCTCCTGCATGCAAAGGATGTGCTCTACCACTGAGCCATTTCCCCCCTTTCCACATACTATAATAAGTCATACTGGAGTACAACGTCCCTATTTGATTAAACAGTAAAATAGAATCACTTTCAGAATATTTAGCATCCCAACCACAACAATCAACTTCAACCTTCTTAGCCAGAACTGAAATCCCACCCACGTCCATTAGAGGGGGAGGGAAAACAGAGGAAGATCCCATTCATTCTATAGGACTTTGGTTTCTTACCACAATTATGGCAATTCTGCCTCCAACATCTCCGACTACTGTTATTGGTGGTTTTTCTTTGGCCATCATCACTGAAGAAAAGAAAAAATTAGACTTACAAAGTTTACTGCACTATTCATTTACAGCACTTGTAGGACATATACACATGAAGTACTGCATCGTCCTCCTAAAATGAACACATTTGGGTGCGGTCAGAGCGGGTTAAACTGCTCCAGTTCTAACCGGATTATATTTGATCTGGATAATCGCGATCACACTGACCTCCCTTATCCCGCCTCACCCACAGTCACATCGCTCCCCGGCATTTACACTACTGACGCGCGGGAGCGTGTATTGGCGGGTTTTTAAATTTTTCCTCAGTATGCGCATAGGTGCCCCTCCGTAGAAGGGAGGGGGAACTATCATGGCGCATGCACAGAACCACCAGGGCGAATCAATCCAACCCCTCCAACAAAAGACTTCCCTTTAAACGTTTGACCTGAAAATGGCCTCCGTGAGATCCCAAACTCATCTAAACACTAAAACAAGTGGCCGTTTAAATGTCGGTTTTCCAAACGCGGTGGCGGAGCTCCACCTATGCGCACACCGCGAATGCATTAAAAAAAGGGCGGGTGAAAAGCGGACGCCTTGGGCAGCTTTCGAGCGGGGAGGGGGTTTAAACCGGAAGTGGCTCGACACCGCAGGAGCGGTCAGACGTGAGAAAAGTGCGGCTGGAAGCTCTCCCTCCTCTGCGAAGACAGATCTGCGCATTCCCCCCCCATAGCTAGCAATCCAAAACAATCCAGTGGCACCTTTAAGACCAAATTTTATTCAGGTACAAGCTCTACCTCCTCTGCGAGGACAGATCTGTACGTTTCCCCCCCTCCAATAGCTAGCAATCCAAAACAGTCCAGTGGAGCCTGAGCGGTGGGTGTTGCCTTCTGGCACACTTCCGGTGATGTCAGGGGGGGTGACATATGCAAATACGTTATGCTAATGAGTTATGCTAATAAGCTCCTGCACCGCTTTTCCTACGAAATGACCCCTGAACATTGCTATTTATATTTGTTCAGAGATTGTGAAATAGTACAAAAGAGATTTCCCTTATTAAACAGAGGTTGTAAAATTGGAAACAAAGCATTTGCATTCACAAGAGATCATGTGAGTATATCATGCAAGGAAGTGACCAGTGAAATCGCTGAAATGTTTTTCTTAGCTGAAGCAGGCATGTGCTTGTAATATTAAAAAAAAAAAAAACCTAGGAAACTTTTATAAGGCCTGTCTTGATAAAATCTTTGCCATTCATGAGTGCATTGGAATTTTTGGTTGACGAAATACCCTTGCCCAGTAACTCCCAAGCAAAATAAAAACAGAAAAACCACAACTTACATGGCAGCTCCAAGCCAGTGTGTAGTGTAGTGTTTTTTACTGTCGGGGGAGAATGACGTCCATCATCCATGTCTTGTTCTGTGCACTGAGCCTCCCCATGGATGACTGCTAGTCCTAGCCGCAGCCGTTCAGCGTAAGACTGGGCCCTGTATAAACCCAAAAGACAGATGAATGGGAAACAGGTTTCAATTTAGGAGAGGAGTTTCTGAACTTCTAAGCATTTCAAACAATGACAGCTCGCGACTGATCATTTCTCTTTTCACCATAGGTTTTGGATTTTCTTTTAGCAAATGATTTTTCAATTCATTTTCTGTTTTTGCCATTATCATATAAAAGCCAGATGCTTCTTATTTTGAAAGTGTATCAAAACACTTAAATATAAGAAAATGCATCACTTCATGAACCCTTTCTTCTACTTTCAGGCTTCTATTTAATTGCAGTATCAAAAAATGTTAATATTTCAAGACCACCCTTCCAACCCACCTCCTTCCATCTGTCCCTCTGTGATGATGTGAAAACATCTGTCAGGATTATATTGTCAGGATCCACGGCAAGACAACGAAGTACACACTTCTAAGAAGGTTTTACTTTTATTGAAAAGCCATAGATGCAGTAACATGAACACTGTTAGGAATGGCGGGTTACCTATGCGCATAATAGGATATAGGGCATTCGTATGCGCCCCCCCCAGTACTACCCAATTAGATGGGCTCCCGCGCGCGGGCATTTGGCAGATTCTCTAACGGCTATGAAGCTGGGAAAGTAAGAAGCTCCCATGAAACCTAGACACTACCAACTCCTCCAGTGACCTTGAGAGATATGCGTTACAGCTTAGAAGCAATTAAGCGCATGGGAAGGAATGCAAAGCAATTAGAAACATACACCACACTCATGGCAGCTATAGCTGACATATATGAGCCATAGTGAACTCAGGTTATTAAATGGAAAGGGGAGAAATATTTTCAAAGTGTTTCACTCCAGAGGGTATCTCCATTGCAGCCAAACACAGAGACTTGTGGCACCTTAAAGACTTACAATTTTTTGTTCAGAAGATCTCAGTTTTCACTGTGGAGAATCATCTCCTCTTTGTACCAGTTCTCCAACTTAACACAAACCACCCATTTATAGACTCTAATACTAACACAGACTGTTGTCTACCCAATTTTATCCACTATATACTAACTACAGGATTGTCCAAATAAACTACAATTTGGAGTCAGTTTGGTGTCGTGGTTAAGTGCGCGGACTCTAATCTGGGAGAACCGGGTTTGATTCCCCCACTCCTCCACTTGCACCTGGCTGGATGACCTTGGGCAAGCCCTAGTTCTGATAAGAGCTGTGCTTGAAAAAGAGCAGTTTCTGTCAGAGCTCTCTCAGCCCCGCCTACCTCACAGGGTGTCTGTTGTGGGGAGGGGAAGGGAAAGGAGTTTGTAAGCCGCTCTGAGACTCCTTTGGGTAGTGAAGGGCAGGGTAATAAATCCAATCTCTTCTTCTCTCAAGAGCAGTTCTCAGGAGAGCTCTCTCAGCCCCACCTGCCTCACAGGGTGTCTGTTGTGGGGAGGGGAAGGGAAAGGAGTTTGTCAGCTGCTCTGAGACTCCCTTGGGTAGTGAAGGGCGGG